ATAATTATCTATCATTGATTGCAATTTATCGTCGACAAGTAATTATAGTTATTGTGCTGCATTGCACTATTTAATATGGAAACTTTCGCTGGGATATTTAATGGGGAATTGAGAAAATTAGCCATACGATTGAAAATTGATTATTCCCGGATGATTACCGATGCGCAAGGGAGTATAAAATTTCCTTATTAAATTGACAACTCAATGATTAGTGTATTAAAGATTTCCTGAAAAGTTAGAAATTATAATTAATAACGGACGAGATTTCGAGGAATAATCTGGATTTATCCATGGCTGTCAATTCGTCAATGGACACTTAATTTATTGCTAAAAATAACGATGAAAATTTGTTACCACCAAGTCGTGTGTTCTTAACGAACGGCATTACATAGTAAGGGGCATTTACTTGTCATTCTCCATGTCGCTGCCAGATATAAATGAAATATTAATCGGTCATGGAAGGAGCGGATAGTACGATTTCTGAAAAGATACCTTTTCTAAGGTTTTTACGCTACGTTGGCTTAGATTATTCGTAAGGCTATGTATTAAAAATTCCTCCAAACAGTATGAATAAATATAAATCTAAATATAAATAAATATAAATATAAATCGGTTGAATAAATAATGAATCTGCATTGTCGATCGGCTAGAATGAAAAAAAAATGATCAAAATCTATCCGTATACGGATGACAGTCGTTCTAAATTCGGCGACACTCGTCAAAATCACAAAAAAAAAAAAACATCTCGGAAATTGATTAATTCATGGGACATTTACACTCCGTCGAAAGATGACGATTACGCCAGTTTTCTCGGGAACGGTTCATTCGACTGCCAAATTTATGGGTAACCCGTCTAGGCTCTTGATAATCTAATGGCAAATTGATTAATAAGCCCAGGGAGTGGAAGGCAAATTTATTTGTGCTTTGATTTAGATGTGCGCGTAGACATTTAAGGTCACGCGACGTTTGTCGTTTAAGCGCGTTTATTGTCGATAAAATTTTCTTGACCGCGTTTATCGGCGATTTTTCCTAGGGCCATTAAACGCCCACTCGATCGTTCGTTATATTTATTTAGCGTTTTTATCACAGCGATGGTTTGTTAGCAATCGATAAACGTTCGTTAGTAGTGGAGATGTTATGGAGATGTTAATGCAGCATCTTTTGGAATGACGTTTTTATTTCCGTATTATCTGATTGTTTACTTTCTAAATTGGCCATTTCATCTGATATATAGCAAAGTACACTTTTATTGATTTCACATTTTTATTTGCTGCTGATGCTGATATCGCTGATAAGATTACATGCATCTATCGTCGTATCATCATAACTTACATAATTAAGCGCGTGAGATTTTTATTTAAACTATGAATCAGCTATTTTCATCTGTAATTGCAGCTCAACGTACGATTATGATATATTTGAGAAATTTCGTAATCTCCGATATCCATAATTAGATGAGTTCGAAAGAGCGCTTAAAATATCCCTTACTTCAATGAAAACCCGTTCTTCTTTTCTACATCTTGTCAAATGTCTGTCAAAAGGACTTACTTATCATTTAATTATAATGGACCATTAACCGCTAAGGATTTCTTAATTCAGCAAACTCATTTTATTAGGCACGTGAGGTAATAATGAATAAAGATTTTGTATTTTTGTCCAAGTAGTCGTCTAAGTGTGTGAATGGCGAAGGTAATTTTGATTGAAATTGAAGAAAAACGAGTATTTTGGAACGGTACATAAATGGTACATTTTGTGCGAGTCGCGGCGGGCAACGAAGAAATTCCAATTATTTTCCTTGCAACAAAATTCCGAGCAACAAAATATTCAAGAACAAATGTCCCCCGTAATTGCCCGACTGCGATGTAGTGGCTTGGGAGACAGGTCCGAGAGAGAGAGAGAGAGAGAGAGAGAGAGAGAAAATATCGCGATCTCACCTTATATCGGCTGACACGAAAGAAAACAATGTAAAGTGAAATTATTCTTAAAACGGCACTGTCTGTATAAGTAAATTTTTCTTTTTGGCAATGGCGATTAGCTTATCGATATTTGCCGCGATGATGGTACATTTATTGTTAGCACATAATTCATCGACTTTGGATAATTTATGCGAATCATTAACATTATAATTATAACTAAATAGATGAATAATAAATAGTATTTAATGATTTTTATGTCGTATAATGTCTTTTAAACACATTTATAATAAATCCATTTAATATAGGAAATTTGTTCGAGTAATAGAAATAATTGAAATAAGTGAAAGTTACTTTTAATGCCAAAATATATACTTTTTATAACGATAACTAAAAATAAATTTTTGATATACCTGTAAATAAGGAGGTCAACGAACCGGATAAAATTATGTTTTTTGTATATTAAATCCATGCTAATTTCGTTAAAATCTTGCCAATCGCTCTGACTACTTAGTTTATCTTAACTATTGAATTTTACGTTTTTATTGTCATTTGATTGTTTGTTAACTGAATGTCGAAACTTAAAGCATTGGGACGATTAATTCGATAAAAAGATGTGATTAAAAATTTGTGTCAATATTGACAGGCATTTCCTTAGTGAAGTTGGGCAACTATAATTTACCTCTATTAGGAGCGAAAAATGATTACATTTAGGAATGCCTCGCTACAAGTGCCGATATTATTTTTTTTCGTGTTTTATTAGCATTATTTTTAGATTACGAACTATTCCAGTGAATTACAATAGATAATGGGAATAATTAATTGTATAATTATGTATAGTCTCTTGCTAATATGTGGAAAAGCCTATTAATTGGTAATTAAGCGTGTGGCGGAGATTACGACAAAGGGGGGGATTTTTTTTTTTTTTTTTTTTTTTTTTTTATCATTGTAATCGCTCGACAGGAAATTCTCGAATTTGTAACACCCGGGCTTAATCGTTAGTCCATTATTTAATATCAATTTCCCTGGCTTGTGAAAAATCAACAATGAATTATGAAACTATGAAGTAATTTTTTCGATTCTTTGACAATTATAAATAAATGCTTGTAAAATGCATTGACTTTTCAGTGAGAAGAATTAAAATAAAAAGGAAAAAGGTTCAATATTTTAAATGAATTTTCCAAATACTAATCAAAATCCGTATAGTAATTTTAATTCAATTGCAATATAAATTAATATTATCATATCGTTTTAACTAGTAATATATATATATATATATGTAACATATAATTTATTTAATAATTTTTTCAATTACCATTCAAGTTTGTTTACTTAATTTATGAGCAATTTTTGATGATGAATTAATAGAGAAATTTGTCATTACCAGCACTTAATGACGTAGAGGTAAGGTAAATAGGTACAGTCCACTTTATGAGCCGTTCAATCTAATAAATAATACAAATGAATTTTTACCTTAATTAATGATCAAAACCTTTTGCGCATCAATAATCCAAACAAATATTTCATTTAATCTTTCATAGTCCTAATCTAATAATGAGAATCGATGCAACGATTTTTTTTTCCATTTATAGCCAGCTGAGAAAAATTAAAGGACAATGTTCATATTGATCTACGATGTTATATTAGTTCATGACTATTTGTCAAATTGAACACTTGTAAAAAATTGTCGAGGTTTACACCAGTTATGTTGATTCGATAGGAACAGGGCCACATATAATCGACGAGTATTTGCAAATTGGCAATCATTACCATCCTACTTTCTACGACGTATGGAGTACTTGGAAATTTGTGCACCTTTCAAAAACAAAAAAAAAATTTTTTTAGTTATCGAATGTACACGCCACTTGCGGCTTAAAATGTCTCGATATTTCCATAACAATAATATCGGTCAATATCTCAATTAAAGTAATGATTCAAGATTAGAATAATGATAATAGACGTTTAAAAAGCTTTAAGGTGATCGACGTGTGATCTAAATGAGATCCGATAGCTCACGTTTTATATATATCTGGAAATAGCTTTAATTATAATTAATAAATCATAGAGTAAATTGGCATTCGAATGGCATAACATTTATCGTTGGTAAAGTTGAATATCGTTTGAACTAATTTTTGCGCAATGACACTTCCTTCAGCAACACGAAAGTATTCACTTAAAATTGAATAAATTTATACGTTACATAAAATATATATTTCTTAAGTAAATAGACGTTGGTTGAAGCTCATTTTTCAACGATGTACACTTAATATGCGCTATTCTAAGCTTTATGAAAAATTCAGAATTCATGGGAAAAAAAAAACTAAATTTATGATTTGTAGAGAAAGTGTGCTGAACGAGGGGAGGGGGGAGGGGGAGGGGGGGGGAAGATGGTAGATAATGGGAGTGAATTCGAGTAGTTAAATTCAAATACCGTAAAGTCGATTAATGATTAGTCGCTGGAAGTAAGTAGTGTATATCGGCCAATTGCTTTTTCCTTGCCAATCCCATGCCGAATTATGAGAAATACTTCGTATCATTATAAAGTGCTTGTGTAACACATTGAAAATTGAACTTGAACGTGGAGACGAACAAGGACTGACTAAAGTATTACGAGATCTTGCGTCACAGTATTGGCATTCCGGGGACGAATATCGTACGATTTTCCGAAGCCGCTCGCTGCGTCTCATCCCCGAAAGCGCGGAACGCGGGAAACGGCTAGCCCGTGAATGATCTCGCGTATCGAGGAAAAGCTTTCTTGTTCTCGGTCCGCGTCAGTCTAATGATGAGACGCAACTAAAGGGCAAGTCAATCGATGACAACGGGCCCCCATCGCGTACACTAACGGAGCCAGGGGTCCCATCGCGAACGCGCTTAAGACGAGTGACAACGACAGCGGGGGGAGGTACGGAGCGGGAGGTGGCAAGGCCGGAGGAAATAGATGGGACTGAGCCGGAGGGGCGGCTGTCGAGAAACACTTGGAAAGCCCCGGGTAAGAACCAGCGGCGGTTGTGGCCGAGTCACTCGGGGGAATTTCGCCGCGTTCAACGAAAGTCCGCCCTCACTTCCAGGCTCCGGTCGCGCACTCACTTATAGAGCTTGCTGTCCTGGCAGGTGCGCATCCATTGTCGGAGCTTGTGACCAAGACGCGGCTTCCCGCCGGCGGTACCCTCAACGTCCTCCTCCTGGCTCCGCTCGAGCTCACGACCCAGCATCTCCTCGTGCAGCCGCATATACTTCTCCTTTGCGCGACTGAGACCGTTTCTCGATTGGTGCTGTTGCTGCTGCTGCTGCTGCTGTTGTTCTTGTTGTTGTTGTTGTTGTTGTTGTTGTTGTTGCTGTTGCTGCTGCTGCTGCTGCTGCTGCTGCTGTTGCTGTTGCTGTTGGCCGTCCTCGGCGCCGGGCGCCGTGCGCACGCACATGCTCGCGGTCGTTCCTCGTCTCTGTCGTCGGAGGAGGTGAGTGTTGCCGACTCTGGGCTCTTCGGCTCGGGCCGACGGAGTGCGCTGCTCGCGGCAGGCGCGCTTCCCCTTTATACCGACGCCCGGCGTCTTCCCCCGCCAGGTCGCCCGGGAACGGGGGGGCGGCCGAGACCGTACGCGTCAGCGCGACGGCAAGCGACGGCGAGCGACATTGCCGACCGACGCCCCGGGGATGGCTCCGTGGTCACTTGCCGCCCCAACTTGCCTGGCTCTTCTGACACCAAAGTCCCCGGCCGCGACCCACTGAATCCTCAAATAACAATGACAATCTCCTCCCTCCCAACCTCTATCTCTCACCTCACGCGATACCCAGACACTTATCACCGTTTTTTTTTTACATCCGCGACGATCTCGTTTACTCGAGAGCTCGTCGGTCTCTTTCCTTTATTCCTCCCGTCAAAGCCTCGATTATTGCTCTAAGCTCCGAATCGAACTGCTGCACGCTTCTCTCGTCTCGGACTTTAATCCAAGATTTTGAGAACGCGAATTTGTTAAGTACGATCTCTTTCTGAGATAAAAAGAAACGTAGCCTAAAGGAATATAAGCTGTAGGAGCGTTATTTTCTATTCTTTGGGCCAACCTTTCGCGTTACTGTGATTGAGCGCCTGCGATATCGATATATTAAAATCATTACTTCCAATCCCTTTTTACCAAACTCTTATGTTAATTAGAAGAAAGTGACTTTCCGTCTGTAGAAGAAACTTCGTTGCCTTGGTCTTGTAATGATGTAGGCGCTTAGCGATTCCGTTTGATGGAGGAAGGACGGCATTGGGCCGATAATACACCCGAGTGAGTCTCTTATTAATGAAAAATTGACTCGCGAGCCGCTGATTGTGATGATATTGAACTATTGAAATCCGTTACGTCGGCAAGGAATATTTAACCCAAAATTATTTACTTACTCGTCTACCAATTGACCATGCAGCTACGATAAAAATTTCTTCTTCTCACGCAGGATTTCGTCATTATTGTTCCTCGTTATGTTAAAGAAAAAAAAGCTTATTACGTTATAATAGTCGTAATGCTAGGGCAATATGAGGTTATGAAAAATACTCGCAAGGATTTTGATTCACGGGAATTCGTATCTTTCTAATCCTACAATTTATCGATTGATATTTTAATATTTATAATGTATATCGATTAGAATATATTTTTATAAACTTCACGATTTATTTATCTAATTCTCCAATCGAAGCATTACAGCCATACCCAAGCATTGCTTCAGTTGGTTCGCTACATTTGAATTGAAAAAGCATATCTGGCAGCATACGGAGTAATATGTGATATAAGCTTTGCATTGAATTGTGTAATATAAATATTTGTTTATAACGGGTGATTATTTTATATTGTATATAGATAATGCTAATTTGAAATAATCCGATACCTGAAAAATATTTCTTTTTAAGGATATCTGTTGAAATGAAGAACAATCGATTCATATAGATTCTATTGAAATACAAATAGAGTTTTTCTGAATTTGCAGAATACATAATAAGGCCTTGTTTATACTATTAGCGTACATAAACTTAAATAAGACAGATATATGTAAATAACAAAAGGTTATTGATGTAATATCCAAGACCCGTTAAAGAATCAAATCATCGTTCTCGATTGGTCGATCGGATATTTCATCGATAAAAATTCACTGTCGCTCATCATTCCTTTAGACGTTATTTTAAATATCCTATAAAATTCCTATCATAAATTATACAGATGCTTTCTCGTGGCAGTCACGCTGCTCTCGGTCCATAAGCGATTCGCTCATTTTTATTTAAAAAAATATAGAGCTGAGTGACCCACATACTTAATAAAGTCGCAACAATGTAAGAACGTACGAGTTTCGTAGAAAAAGGTCACTTTGCGCATCGATGCAACGACTATTTTTGTTATAAATTCGAAATTGACAATTGAAAAATGTCGCCATACAGCAAAAGCTTCTCATTGATTGGATAAATTTTATTACTTTTTTTTTTTTTTTTTTTTTACTGCACCAACAGACGGTCGTTTGCGACAATATACGATTAATCATATCTTTCATTCATTAAAGTAAAAGAAAATTTATGAGAAGAATCGTAGCCAGTGAAACATTAATACTACACTTGTGCTGAAAGCTTCAAATTTCAAAAAGTAAAAGTAAAATTAAATAATTATTAGTTTTTACTTAATTAACAACATTTCTCATTTATCGAAAAATTGAATTCTACAATTTAGGTGACTGGCTTTCCCTCGTGTAGCTTCAATCTAAGTCTTTGATATGATTCACTGGAATATATCGTGCGAAAATATACGTAGTTTCAAATAAATTTTAACGACAATTCTCGATACTTCAAATTATATTATTAACGAGGATTAAGAGAAGTAGACACGATAAACGTAACATCGTAATTTTGCAGAATAGCATTCTATAAATTTTTATAATTGTCAAATACAATGAATTATTTGATTACGGCGGGTTAAAAGGTATTCTTATGTGATGCAGAATGAATGTCTAAGTTATTAATATAGGTGAATGAGCTACATTTAAACAATAGCCAAATATCGTAGCCTTTATGAAAACTTTGACGTTATCTTAAGATTTTTTTTATACCTTACCGCAATTTAAATTCATTCCCAGTCGATAAAGGAACAAGACAAGCTTAAGGTTTCGTTACTAAATGTTTCGATGATAACGAAAATTTAAGTACTACCGTAAGTATTAAGTTAATCAATGTTAGTTATTGAGACAAAATTACAATCGAAAGCCATAAATATTTAAAGCGCGCGATTTTTTGGGTGAAATTTTCAATAATATTCGATTTAATAAACTGCTGCCTTAAAAAAAATCGTAAGTGGCGTTCATTAACCGAAATAAAATTATCTGATATACATGATTTCCTGACGTTAAAAGATGTTTGAACATTTATTCAATGCCCAATATAATCTTTGTAAGATAAATTTACATTGAAAACGAAATAATCGATTTAATTTCGTAAGCATGAACTTATATACATAAGTCCTTAACTCAACTTTACACCTTTATGGTCTATGAAATTTTTGTAATAATGTCCTATTACTTTTAACAAAAAAATTTATATATATAGAATAAAATTGTGCTAAAAACAAGTTTTATACTGTAAAGCCATAATAAATTATTCAAAAAACAAAGTAATAACTCAGGATGAATGTTTATAACTGTTATAAATATAATGCAATACATTATTTGTCAATTTTAAGATTCACACAGACTAATTTAGCAATCATCTTTCTTATTTGCAAAAATAATGTCAAATGATATTTTGACAGTAACTTGTCATTAAATCCTCATAAAGTAAATCAGACATTTGGCAATCGAACGTTATTTTACTTAAAATTAGATTATCCACAAGGATTCTATGTAAAGAAATCAAGTGCAATGTAAAGTTATATGGAACTTGACGACAATGAAACGGAAATCATCGTCACTTTACGGTTACGTGAGTTTTATCTATTATTTGAAAACTTTTTATAGTTAATAAATTCTCACAGAGAGTCCAAATTTATCGAGTAATATACTAAAAATAATCCACATACTATTTCATGTGCTATTCCCATCTAAGGAGCAAGCAACAATAATTTTCATAGCACATATCTCTGTCTCTACGATAATTCATCCTCGTAAAAGGAGCAACCACGCGGTCAACGTTACAAACTCTCGAATACCACTTTGGCGAATTGGAGATTCAGCTTTCAGTGGTAGAACCTGTGTAAGATGGTAGTCCCGTGATAAGTCGCGCCTCCGGGATTTGTAAGTACTTCCAAGTCTCTTTCCTTGGGACATTAATCAGCGAGCGACTTATTACCCTATCGTCCATCTCTCCTCGAAATCCAGGATTTCGGTGCGGTCGAGGCACAAGTGCGTGCACGCGCGCTCTCTCGTCCTCTTGCCTCAGATTTCCAAGAGGAAGCACGAAGATCTCGAAGAAAGCGGCACGAGCTGCGAGACCTCGGAGGTTGTGGTCGCGCGCGCCCCAAATCCAGGATCGATAAATTGACTCGTTTCGGCGAGCGCTGCGGGTGGAGCCGCGGGCAGACGTGGGGGAGGATAGGCTTTTATTGATAGCGCCTCCGGGCCCGTCTCACGACGAAGGCAGGGCCCGTCCGAAAAGCGGGGATAGCCTCGCCCACGCGAACCTCTGTCCCCCTTAATCTCCACCCTCGTTTTATCTGGCCGTCGCGTCTTGGGCAGCGGACACGCGGGTGTTCGGTGACTGCCGGCCGCCTTTTATTCAAGGGACTGAATAATATCCTGGGCTTGCCGGCCACTTTGCTTAATTTCAATTGTCGCATTAGCGGCTCCGCGGCTCAGGACTTATCCTGTCGTTTAATGTGCGAATTGTAGTTGGGCAAATCCCTTTAATGCGTAGGAATGCCTTAGCGCAGCGACTAACGAGGCTGAAAAAATTTGTCGGCCAAAGGGATTGAGGGACGAGATTTTGATTTGAGCGACAATGCGCGCGATTACATCTCTAAAAGCAGTTTGAACCCCGATGCTTATTTATTTTGATAGATAGACGATGTTCCCGATGCTGTGTTAGTAGCTTCGTAGTAAACTTCCGCGAGATGTTTACCGACTTTTGCAATGCCGTTAAAGAGAAATTAGACAATTTAAATTCTGGAGAAAAAGGCCGATCGATAGGACTGGAAGTTAGACGCTTAAATTCGAAAGAAGAATCTACACGCTTCTATGTTAATTATTGGCCTTATAAAATTACGAATGAATAGTTATGAATTAGTTGATGATTTATGTGTGATCAATATGTGAGACATGGCCTTATTAATGCTTA